TCTGCACTATTAGTTACATCTTATATTAATTAGATTAAAAATAAACAAACCCAATCACAGATATTCATAATAGTAGAAAAATTAAAGGCATTGTTTTGTAGGTAGTTTAATATAATACTCTAGAAACTAAGATATTTAATTTTTGTTTAAGACTAACTTCTCAATTAAATGAAATTGTGTATCAAAAAACTTCACCTAATTATTGGGTCTCATTTACTGGCTAGGAATTGTTGGATTTGCTGTGAATATTACAATTGTCAAGCGAATTGGAGATCGCAGTACACAAAGTTAGTCGTACTTTGTAACCTTGTGCCGGTATAGGTTTTTAAAATGTGGTTGAAACGAGACCGTAAGGATATAATGGATCTGTAAGCTAAAGAGGGCAATGGTCCGGCCATTTATCTCTAAGAACCGACAAATAATGAGGAAGAAAGGTTTGTGCAGCCTCGTACTTGGCAGCAAAGCTTGGGCACTAACTAGACCCATCTGCTAACATGGGCAAGAACGGAAAAATCCGGTCTATGAGGCAAGCTATGGAGGAGGCCTATGTTCAGCTGTGAACTTATATAGGCTATAATTAATATAAAAATTTTATATTTTTTGCTTTTGTTAATCTGTAATGTTCAGTTATTTAATGCACGATGTTACTTAGCTAAGCTTACGGTTGGTGCGACAGTGTCCTATTAGCTGTTGGTAACTCATCGCATGCAATTATTTATATAGCGCCACTATTTGCGAAAACCCATAAATGGTTTCCTATTGTTTAATTGTTTTCTACCTACTCTGTTTTTTGTTAACCGAGGGATTTCCGATTAAATAAATAAATAAATAAATATGCATGGATCGATGGATGAACTCACTAGATAATGTGACGACCTTTAAAGACATACAGGAAGTCATGCATGCATTATAAGACATGCAGGAAGTTATTATTACCTTCCTCCTTATATTCCTCGACCTATTTTAATTCTTTTTTAACATATACAAGTACTCCTTTTGTGTATATTTTATGTGATTTTATTAATACTAAAAATATGAAACTTTAAATCCTTGTTACTTTTAACATACTGATAAGATTCTAATACCTGTGTTGGTCACATTTGTTCTAGGTAATTCAACAAATAGATTTGTCAAAATTCTCAGAGGAAAACTGAATCCTTGTATTATCGCAGACTCTTATTTTAATTAAACTCATAAGCTTTCATTTTCCACTCAATACGTCATTGGCGAATTTTATCAAACCGCTACAAAAGAAAGAAGAAGAAGATGTCATACATGTATTTCTGATTGCCTATGACACTGTTGTCCATCGCTTGTTTGAGTATTTTCAGTTTGGTATAAACAATATGGTTATACCGCCATCTTTTTTTTTATAGAGTAGCGTGACAAACGAGCACACAGTCCACCTGATGGTAAGTGATCGCTGTGCCCCATAGACATCTACATCTATCCTTGATTACGAAAGACTGAAGACTAAGATGGAATGCCTCGTTTCCAGTAAAAAGGTTTACACTCACCATACGAAACACAGCAGCATTAAGCTACTATTTTACACTGGTATTCTGCGAGAGTGTGGTCCTTCTCCGGTCAAACCGACCCATTCATGCTACAACTATACTACTAATATAACTGCAGTATGGCTCTAGCACGTATAATCTATCGGAGGCCAAGATTTTTCTAGCTTTTCCTCAAGTAATAGGTAAACTATGGGACTATGGGTGACTTCGGGACACCCACGGGACGAAATGGAGGGATAGATCCTCTTACTCTGTCACCACACAGCCTACCCTATGCAATTTTAACATTTCCTTATTAAAATTGCCGCCATCTTCATAAATTCCATATTGATATAATAGTTGTGAGTATGATCTACCCACACTACTCACTTCAGTTTGGTATTTTTTGTAAGAGGTTTGTAATTTGTAGTTATATCATCATCATCATCATCATCATTACAGCCCTTCACAATTCCACTGCTGAACATAGGCCTCCCCCAAGTAATGCCACAAAGCACAGTCCTGAGCCACCTGCATCCATCGACTTCCTGGATGTCTTACCAGGTCGTCACTCCATCTAGTGGGGGGTCGCCCTACACTACGCCTACCGGTACGAGGCTGCCACTCGAGAACCTTTCTTCCCCATCGGTTATCGGTTCTTCGAGCTATATGGCCGGCCAATTGCCACTTCAGCTTACTAATCCGTTGGGCTATGTCGGTCACTCTGGTTTTACTGCGGATATCCTCATTTCTGAGTCTATCACGCAGAGAAACTCCGAGCATAGCCCTCTCCATAGCTCGCTGAGCTACCTTGAGCGTGCTCATACGGCCAGCAGTGAAGGACCACGTCTCTGATCCGTAAGTCATCACTGGCAACACGCACTGGTTGTACACTTTAGTTTTCAGAGATTGAGGTATACCTGACGAGAAGATGTGTCGTAATTTCCCGAACGCTGCCCAGCCGAGTTGAATCCGTCGATTGACCTCTCGGTCGAAGTTGGACTTACCTAGTCGGACCAGGTAAACGTACTTGTCAACAACTTCGAGCATAGTGCTCCCAACAACTACCGGCATAAATGTGACATGGACATTGAACATGATCTTTGTTTTGTCCATGTTCATCTTAAGACCTATCCGTTGGGAGACACCATTGAGGTCATTGAGCATAGTGCTAAGGTCCTCCAGCGATTCTGCCATAAGGACTATATCGTCGGCAAATCGAAGGTGAGTGATGTACTCGCCATTGATGTTAATACCGTATCCTTTCTAGTCCAGTAGCTTGAAAACGTCTTCCAACGCAGCGGTGAAGAGTTTCGGGGATATAACGTCACCCTGTCTTACACCTCTCTGCAGTTGGATAGGTTTCGAACTCTGGTTCTGTACTCGGATAGCCATCGTAGCCCTACTGTACAAACACTTCAGCACTTCGATATACCGACAGTCAACTTGGCATTATAGTTATAACAACAAATTATATAAGGTAATCCGTCTAAGCGTTTTAAAAAAGTTTCTGGTTTCGATGATGTTAACGCTGCTAGCCTATGCGGTTCTCACAGCTTCATAGGATTCAGGGCCCTCGGCCTTGAAGGCCACGGGCTGTGTTTAAAAAAGGTTTAGAGTTTATCATTTGTATGCAAGACAAAATCACTAACGTACAAACATGTTAATATTCATTATATCCTTTAATAAGCTAAGTCTTTCTTCTTTGCAGTGGGTCTATAACATTCTAGAAGGCAAGAGCGAGCAAGACAGAATAGTCCACGACAACAAGTGTGAAAAGGAGGGCTTCGTCCTAGTTCCAGATTTAAAGTGGGATGGTCTCGCGAAAGAGACTTTGTATCTACTAGCGATTGTGAGGCAAAGGGGTATCAAGTCGTTAAGGGATCTGAATGAGAGCCATCTACCGCTTTTGAAGAGAGTACGTGACGAGGGAAAGGTTAGTAATTTTTTATTACTTCTCATTTACCACTCATTATAAATCTGTCTGTGTGATTAAGCGATTAAAGAAGTTAGAACTTAAACCTGAGCCAACATTTGTGCAAAAATAAATTGTTTGTTTTCTAGTATTCACTGTGTTGTTACTGTAAATCAAAGATTTTACTAATTTTATGATTATGACCTTGTATTCTAAGATTCTTAAGATCTGATGATGTGTTAGTTTTTATATTTATATCCTTATATTAATACGTACAGAGAAATCTTTGTATCCTTTTAAATGCATGGACGAGTGTAATATGTGGCATAGTTAAAGTTTATATGAAGAAGGATGTAGAAAGCTAAAATTTATGTATATGTGTTTCAAATGCGTAAATAAAACATTAATTGTTTACGTTCATATTGCCAATATCAATTGTCGTATACATATTTATATGTGGTAGAGCCATGCTGCAACTGTATTATGGTTGTAGAACGAATGGGTCGGCTCTACCGGGGTGGGACCAAGCTCTCACAGAATTTTTTATTATTTTTATAGGAGAGGTGGCAAACGAGTATACGGCTCACCTGATGGGAAGTGATTACCGTCGCCCATGCACACTGCAACACCAGGGGAACTGCAGATGCGTTGCCGGCCTTTTAAAAAGGAGTAGGCTCTTTTCTTGAAGGTCCCTAAGTCGTATCGGTCCGGAAAAATATCTGCTGGTAGTCGATTCCACAAGGAAGTTGTGCGAGGAAGAAAACTTCTTTTAAATCGCACGGTTTAGATGGTATGGATGGCATCGCGAGTTTTGTCGCGATGTGTGATGGTGAAATTGCGCCGCTGGAATTAGTCCGAACAATTCCTCGGAGCACTCTCCATGGTAGATGCGATAAAATACGCAAAGAGATGCAACATCTCTTCGAAGTGCCAGTGAGTCAGGCCGATCGGAAAGAGCACGGTCGCCGACGATTCGAATAGCTCTGCCCTGGATGCGATCGAATGGAAGGCTGCACTGCTGCTGAAAGCTGGCACTGGGAGCCCCGGCCCTGAATACAAGCACAATGCTACTGTGTTTCGTGTGGTGAGTGTAGAGAACCAGAGACCCTTTTTACTGGAAACAAGGCATTCCATCTTAGTTCTCAAGGTTAGCAACGCATCTGCATTTTAAGACGGTTCCCCCAGCGAGAGACCTTGAGCGTTCGGTCCCATACAATCCACGCGCTCTCGCTACAATATATCACGGAAAAATACGCACGAATATTTGGAATTATTTCAATTAAAAGAGATAAGCGAACTTAAGAAATTAAATAAAACGTGTAGAATATAGATTTTTAAATTATCTATCCGTTAGTGTAATTCTCGAATGATTAGAGCATTTCCTTTAGCAACAGATGCATGCAATCAATAATTTTAGTCATTTTTTAAAAGTAGATTTTAAATGTATTCATAACACATAAAAACAAATTAGAACGTGGAATGTGATGATAGGATATCGAACATTAATAATGTGCTTTTAGATGTAGCTTATTTCTCATAACTAATGAGATAATCGTCTCTGAAAAACGCACTTTTGCCAGGTTTTGGTCAGGGTGCCCCCTTAACGCTTAATCGGGGATAGATATAGAGTTCCATGGCCACAGCATCCACTTACTATCAGGTGGACAGTGTGCTTATTTGTCACGCTTATTCTATAAAAAAAAATTGTAAAACAGTCGCAGAGAGATCGTCGCCAAAGAATTTTAAAATGTTGCCAACAAAACATTTTCTAATGGTCCTTTTTGAATAGTATGTGGAGTGTATGTCAAAGCAAAAAGTATTTATATTGTATTTTTTATATTAGATATCTGTATTTAATATGTTAATGTGCTGTTGAATAGATAATACATATGTATTATATTGGGAGTTGAAAGTGAAATACAGCTTGCTCAATATACAAACCTGAAAGTTTAGCGAATTGCGGTTGAATTTCCACCAACCGACGACCATTAGTTATTCTTATTATTTTATTAATAGTGCTTAAGGTCTGACATGGGTAAAGGAACAACGAAAGGAAGAATAACTAGATTTTTTTTAAATGGTTAAATCATTATTACCATTACAGACTCACAAATCCACTGCTGAAAGTAATCCCCTTCCAAGGTATGCCACCAAATGCTTATATTATCGTTTTAAAATCGATACAAAAAATTTATAAATAATTTTTCATTCTAAGCCTAAACTATTTAATCTTCAACGGAATGCAGCGTCGAAGGTAATAACCGTGAAAAGATATTTACTTTATACCCTATGTCACTTAACTAAGAAAAACGACATTACATATATGTTAAAATCCATCACGCCGTTTAGGTTACATAGCGTGCCAAAGCAATAGACATACTTACATACGTACACTGGGGCTGACATTATCTGGGGCTGCCGGATACGTATGCTATTGCGATCCTTACTACTTAGAATTTAGGGTTCATGAAAAAGAAAATGTTTGACCATAATAAATTTTTCTTTTTTTCCAGAAAACTATATTCTCAAAATACAACGTGCCAGGAAGTCAGTTACGCGTCTACCTCCACTACCAACCTTCGTTCTATCATCTCCACATACACTTCACGTATCTCAGACACGAAGCACCCGGCATCTATGCAGAGAAGTCCCATCTCCTCGACACTGTCATTGACAACATCGAAATAATGGGTTCTTATTATCAGAAAGCTACCTTACCGTTCACCATCAGAGAGATGGACTCACTTTTTAATGTTTACGAAACCAATGGTCATGTTGAGAGAATCAAGCCAAATATTGAATTGATCGATAAGTAAAATTTCATAGTAATAATACGTTAAAATGTTGATTAAAAATATTTTTATGGAATTACGCTCACGACTGCGTAGTTGCAATGTTTACATCACAACTGGCGTGGATTTAAATAAGAATTGCAATCTCAAAATTAATATACAGTCGAATTGTATAATTCTAAATTATTATAATGATAGCGACAGTCTAAAGAGAAGTGACAGTCTCTCTTCTATAGAAAGTCTCTCGGATAGCTATTCTGAAGACGAATCGGACGATTCCTCTGTTATTCCTATCGATGAATTCTGTCACATTATTCCAAATTCTATGTCGTGTCTCAAAATAGACAAAAACACAATCACTTTCCGAATACTGACAGAACCCAAAAATGGCGGCAATTTTTATGCGGAATTTTTACCTGCGGATAACCTTGGAAATTGCCCAAAAACTAACAGCTTGAAAATCAATCTCAAGCCCGAATGCGATATTAAAATAATATGTGCAAACTGTTCTAATGTCATTTCAAAAGATTGCATCAAATTTGACAGGATCTTGGAGTTGCCAACAACAAATTTAGATATGTCGGAATGGTTTTGTCACGGCCACGGACATGGCAACTCTTCGCAACTTGTCGTTCTGAAATCGAATAAAAATGATTTTCTCTACCGGCTGACATATTTCGTCGTAAACAACAATATGTTGTCAGAGAAAAGCAATAAATTTAACGGTAAAAGAGACGTCTACCACTGCAATAGATGCTTGGCCTGGTTGGGGCTAAAAAATAAGGATACGGTGAAATTGTTCAACTCTGAAGTGAAAATGCAACAAGACAATATTGATTCTCATATATTTTTGCATAATACTCAGAACGCATATGATCAAATCATACGCGATTTCATATACACGATCGAATGCATGACCAAAGAATCAAACTTGGGGTTACAGTATTCGGTAATGTGTAAAATAGTTCTGGAATGTTCGATTTCTTCAACAGACAAACAGTACTTACTGATCTGGATAATGGACAAAGAATTGCAAGTACTAAGGAACAGTGAAGAGCGCATCGAGAGCGACAAAATGATTTTACAATCAAGTTTTCTCACAAAGATCTTGTATAAAATCGAGTTAGTATTGAACGAAGAGGTTGAAACATGGCTGTCGGACCCGACGGTCGTGTCTACAGACATATCTAGAAGTATGTTTTGTCGCGGTGTAGAACACTTACAGCTGATGTCGCAAAAAGTTCCGGAAGCATTTCGTAGCGCTAATGGATATAGTATCAGTTATTTGAAAGTCTGAATAATAAATTTAATGAAGCAAATGATTTTTTTTTCATGTATGTTGTGTATATAATATAATGTATATTATTCTTGTCAACAGAAATGGCTAATAAGTACACAATTGATTGCATTTCGAGGTACACATTGTTATTATTTTTTATTTAAGATGAGTAATACAAAGAAAAACGCGAAATACAAGTTTTCCTTGTTGATATTGTATGTTTTTCGTTTGTTGCTTGAAATAACAATTATTTGATAAAAATAGTTCATTTTCTCTACTACAATAAGCTCAGAGCAAATTTTGGATAACTTATTTATTTATTTAATAATCATTCTCCCGATGCATGTGTGGGGACTAGTGTCATGTCACAATCTTATGTGGTGTGATAACTACTACCTTCTGTGTACTAAATATCGGGAATTTGTCAATAAAACAAAAAATACAAATTATTCATCTAAATTTATTTTATCGCCTTCAAAGTAGGCCCCATCGCTTGCAATACAACATCTCCAACGCTTCACCCAGTCTTCCATACATTTTTCATAGGCTATTTGCGGTATGGCCTTTAGCTCATTCAGCGAATTTTTTGTTATGGCTTCTATCGACTCAAAACGTTTTCCTCTAAGTGGTAATTTTAACTTGGGAAATAAAAAAAGTCAGACGGAGCCATATCAGGTGAATACGGTGCTTGGTCGAGAACTTTTGTTGAATTTTTCGCTAAAAACTCATGGTGCAGCATCCATGAGTTGTGTTGCCACAAATCTGGACGTTTTCGGCGGATACTCTCACGCAAACGCTTCATGACGCCTAAATAATATTCTTTATTCACTGTGTCCCTTTGGTAGGAATTCGGAGTGAACCACACCACGGAAGTCAAAAAAAACTGTCAGCATCACCTTGATTTTGGAGCGACTTTGCCGTGGTTTTTTGGGTTTCGGCTCGTTTTCGAGACGCCATTCTGAAAACTGTTGGCTTGTTTGCATGTCGTACTCATAAACCCATGTCTCGTCGCCAGTTATTATACGTTTCATAAAGGTCGGATCCGTAGAAGCTCGGGAAACCATGTCTTCAGCGACATGCTTTCGCTGCGCTCTTTGAACAAAATTGAGCTCTTTTGGAACTAGTCGAGCGGCGACGCGTTTCATGCCTAAAATGTCAATGAGAATGTTGTGGACGGACTTAAAAGATATGTTCACCTTACTAGCCAACTCTCTCAGACTCATACGTCGATTTTCGAGCACTAGCTTCTTGATTTTGTCGATGTTTTCTTTGGTCGTAGCGGTTGAAGGTCTACCAGAACGAGGCAAGTCTACTACTACTTCTCGGCCTTCTTTAAAAGCCTTATACCATTCATAAGCCCTTGTTTTCGATATACACGATTCGCCGTAGGTATTTCGCAACATTTTTAGTGATTCACCACATGAAATATCATTCGAAACACAAAATTTAAGGCACACTCTTTGTTCAACAATATTTTTCATTGTAAAAATCGCCGAGAACTCAAAACTATGGGTGCGTTTGGCAGAAAAAAGCGCTAGCAAGCGCTTGTAAGCAAAATGGCGATCGTAAGCGGTAAGCGCTGTCAAATCGTTAGTAGCTATTTTCCTCCAGGACATGATGTTAGTTTTAACCGGGGAATCTAACCTAATTTAAATATATGTTTGTAAAGTATTCATATTAAAAACTTACCAATCATGAGTTTTTAATAGCATGTATATGTTTATTCATGTCATTATATTACTTAAAACTAATATTGCACAAAACAACTTATAAACTCTACTTCAAAACAAACAAATTAAATAAGCAAAATGGCGGATTGTGTCAGCGCTACTGAAGTAGCAATCGTGTCCTGGCCGAAAACTATTTTAGCGCTTATAAGCGCTTGCTAGCGCTTTTTTCTGCCAAACGCATCCTATGACCAACAAAAAGTGTAGTTTAAAACAAATTAAATGACAGATCCCGCTCAAACTTTGCGCGCTAAATCAGTACAGTGCTACCAACATGCAGTAAAAAAATTAGAACGACCTCTTTTACGCGGGTCTTTTTATTGACATATTCCCGATACTTTTTACACAGAGTAGTATACTGGAATTGTTTTGTCCGTGCAGTTTGGTTCATAAATCATCGGAGTATTTCGCTCTCTCCCACTCATGGGCCTTAGGGGCAAGCATAGTGATGCGCATTATTGTTGTCGAAAAGCGTTATCGATAGTGTATTTAGTTTTTTCATTATGTCGGTTAGTGATAAAAACAGTGGCGGATTTACCAGCAGGCTGAGTAGGCTGGAGCCTAGGGCGGCAGATTTTTGGGGCGGCAAATTTAAGGCAAAAAAATTTTATGTCATAGAAATTAAAGAAATTAAAATTTTAAAAAGATAGATGAAGACCTATTTTCTGCCATTATCTCGGAAATGAAAGCATTTTTTTATTCCTTACTCTGCCCACTCTTGAAATTCAGTGGAAACTGCGAATGCTGAACGTTTCACAAAAGCTTGTCGTTTCTTATTGTTGCTTTTTAGAAAGTTCGACACAACGCTGGCAATAAATAATGATTGAAATCGAGAAACGAAAAACGCTAAAGAGAGCAAATCTGACACCTTGGTCAGCTAGAGAGTGAGAAAGTGGAAGTTTAGAGATTTTTGGTACGAGGTCCTCAAAACTTTAGAATTAATAAAGGATGATTGTACCGAAAAGCCAGTAACGTAAAGCGAAGCGACGGGAATACTTTTGAATTTGTAAAAACTGAAAATGGGGGTAAAGGTTGTCGTCATAGAATACTATAAATACATAACAGAACGGGGGAGTTGGCGGAGCCCGTGTAGCCACTAACATGTCAATTCACATCTATAAACATCAATACAATTAATCGTGTTCAATTTTAATGTCAATCGTCGCTGCATGCAAATTATTTAAAAAAAATGGCTCATTGTGTAATAATTACGCGTTGAAAGAACAGCGGCAAATGGAATTTGAATAAAGGAGACATATCCTACAACCAGTAAGTTGAAACTATTTATATTTTGTAAATATTAGAAACAAAAATAAAGAAATATTGATGTGTCAAAAATATTAATTAAACGTCTAAAATGTGTAAATTCTAGAGATGGACCGAACATTCGTTTTCGTAGTGTCCAATGTAGTGAAATGTACGAATTGAGTAATGCGATGACTTTTACTGTTAAAAGTATAGTACCCGGATGTTGTGGTTTTTTTTTAATTACATTTAGATACAAATTACATACTGATGAATAATATTTTTTGATCTTATTGACATAATAGAAAAAAACTGAACTGGTTATTTGAATAAAAAATCATGAGTGCAATTAGTTTAATTAAAATTTTCGTATTTTTAAAAAATACTAAAAAAAGGGCTTGAAATTATAGATTTTCTCACAAAAGGGAACTTGAAAAAAAAAGGAAAAAAAATTCGGAGCAGAAACAGGACGCGAACCATGGCATTAAAATTTCTCGCCCGCTCGATATCCACTTGAGCTATTACGATCGTTAACACAGTGTCAAAATTTACCTTCCTATATTGTAGCATTTTTTCATTGCCTGAAAACACGGACAAAAAGACATTTTCTAAAAATAAATCCTACCTGGATCGATTTATTGCCCCAGAAACTCCCTGGACACTAAATTTTATAAGTATCGTTGGTGCCGTTTTCGAGATTCCGATTATATATATATATATATATATATACAACAAGTAACATAATTAACGCACTTTGAGAAAGTAGTTTGTTCAGAATCATTTACAGAATCGATTCCTATCATTTTTAATATAGGTAATTTTTTATCCCAAAAATAATTAAAACTACGTAAATTACAGTCACACTAAATCTGTACAGTCAAAACAAACTGCAATGGACCGTAACTTAATGCAATAAGACTTTTAAGAGTGCAGTTTTATTTGTATTATTACTAAGTACCCGGTTGACTGAGCTTAGCTCGGTATTTTACGCTCGGGTTTTTTTTTATTCGTGTGTTTTGGAAATTATATTTAGATACAAATTACATACTGATGAAATACGAATAATATTTTTTGAACTTAGCGACATAATAGAAAAAACTGAACTGGTTATTTGAATAAAAAATCATGAGTGCAATTAGTTTAATTTAAATTTTCGTGTTTTTAAAAAATACTAAAAAAAGGGCTCGAAAAAATATTTTCTCAAAAAAGAAAGGAACTTCAAAAAAAAAATTAAAAAAAAGTCGGTCGGTCGGTCTGGGCTCGAACCATGGTATTACGATTTTACATACATACATAAACATAAACACTCACGCCTGTCACCCAGAGGGGTAGGCAGAGACTACAGACTTCCATTTGGCACGATCCTGACACACCTCTCTCGCATCTATACACCTACGCATACATGCTCGTCGGTTAAGGGTACTCCTAATTTGGCCCGTTTTTAATAAATTGCCAATTTGGTCGATAAATTTTCGCCTAGGACGTCCCTTTCCGACTCTGCCATTCACTTCTGCAACATAAATTTTCTTTGTCAGTCTTTCCTCATCCATTCTTTCCACATGACCAAACCACCGAAGCATTCCTTTCTTAATCCTGGTCACAACATCATCTTGCAAACCACACTCTTCTCTTATTACACAATTTCTTACCCTGTCATTCAGATTCAGACCTAACATACTCCTTAACGACCGCATTTCTACTGCGTTCATTCTACTCTCGTGCTTCTTCTGCCACACCCAACTTTCACTATATAGTTAATACCCGATTGTAATTGCCATACGTGCCTTTTTCGACACATTTTGACTTCACAATAGAGTGTAGGGCCCCATTTACTCTATTTCCCGCATTCACTCGTCGTTCTATATCCTTATCATATCTCCCATCCCTGCTAAATACGCAGCCCAAATATACAAACTCGTCTACTTGCTCGATCAACTCCCCTTCTATTCTTATTTCACAAATCGTTTTGTTTTCTTCTCTTTCAAAAACCATAACCTTCGTCTTACTTGCGTTCACTTTCATACCCCTTTCTTTTAATGATCTGTT